CAAAAAGTTGTAGTTTTGCTTTCTAATAAAAGAACACAAATTAAAAATAGGTAAGGAAAATTTTCATTAAATGAGTAGATTTTTAGCTGCTCTTCTCACAAAAAAGTAAAACAACATGAGATGATAGGTATGTTTATCTGCTTCACTATATTAATCATTATACTCTGAATATGTAGCTTTATTTATCCCAAACATGCATTTTATAAATCTCAAATATATAACATGACATATATTTAAAAATACACAGGATAAAATATTTTTAAATTTGGCTATGCAAAGATTTCTTAACATGACCAAAACCACTACCCTATAAAAGAAAAAACTGGATGAGCCACTTTGGTACAGCACACACTCAAGAGTCTGACTAGCTGGAGGGTTGGGGGAAGGGGATTGAGGTGTGACAAGACCCTGTTGGGGTGCCTTTCTCTCTCTCTAAAAGAAATAAAATAAATAAGTAAAAGAAAAATCGATAAATTGGACTTCGTCAAAATAAAAATATTTTATTCAAATGATACCATTAAGGAAAAAAAAAAAACCTAGGGATTGGGAAAAAATATTTATCAATCACATATTTGATAAAGGATTTGTATTCAGAACATATAAAGAACTCTTGGGACCAGTAGTTGGCGTAATGGCTATCTCGCTGGACTCCCATGAAGTCGACCGCAGTTCAAGTCCCGGACCTGGTGGCTTAAACTCATGCTGGGCGCGTGTGCATGCCCAAGATCCCTAGAGGAGAATGGAGAAGAGAATGGAGGAGAAGGGATTGTGGAGTGGCCACCCCCCTGGAAGGTGATTTCTCACTTTCTGTCTCTTTGTCTTTCTGGCGAGTGCATGTGCCCTATAGCAAAAATCTCTCCAGGCAAACCAAAACAAAACAAACTCTTACAACTCAATTAAAGGCCAAATTTCAAAAATGGGAAAATAATTGAGTAGACATGTTTTCAATGAAAATACATAAATGGTCAATCAACACATGAAAATATGCTGAACACTGGTCATCAAGGAAATACAAATCAAAAGCATAATGAACTATTTGCTCCTCACCCATTAGGTTAGCTGTAATTTTTTTTTTTGGAGAGTTTATTTTTGCCACAGGGCACGTGCGCTTGCCAGAAAGACAGAGACAGAGAGACAGAAAGCGAGAAATCACCCCCCAGGGGGGGCCACGCCGTAATCCCTTCTCCTCCATTCTCCTCTTGGGATCTTGGGCACGCATGCACACACACCCGGCATGGGGTTAAAGCCACCAGGTCTGGGACGCGAACGGCAGTTGACTACCTGGGAGTCCAGCGACATAGCCATTACGCTAACTGCTGGTCCTGGTTAGCTGTAATTTTAAAAATGAACAATAAGATCTTCATTTTGGTCGGTGATCATAAGAGGAACTACTGAAAAGGTGGTTACACTGCAGTTCTGAAGAAAGGAACAGAACTAAAATGCCTCCTTTTGAAACAGATATGACGGTGGAAACCCAAGATACAGAAAGAGTAAACTATGGTACAGAAGCTTAAACACCTGTGCTCAATGATAAAGAAGGTAATGTCAGAGTACTTGGAACAAATCAGGGAATTGAGAGAGTTAACAGAAATGTGCAAAATCGAATTACTGAAGTAAATGCAAAATGAGAAATTTTCACAGAATGCAGAGAAAGGGAGAAACTAAACCATGATAAAAGAAGGAAAGACCAAGAGATACAATCTACACATAATTAGACTATCTGGAATGAAAGACAAAACAAGTAGCTGAAACAATTACTAAGGAACTGTTTGAACAAAATTTCCCAGAGTTCAAGAACCATCTAGATCTACAAAAAGAAAAAGCTCACAGACTACCTTTAAAATTTGACAGAAAGAAAGTAACAAGTAGACATATCCTGGTAGCATTTTTAAATTTCAGGAAAAAAATTAAAATTTTACAAGTATCCAGACAGAAACAGGTTACCTGTAAAAGGCAGAAGTCAGAATGACGTCAGCTTTTTTTCTTGCAACTCCAAATGCTAGAAGACAATGGAACAATACCTAGAGAGTCTTAGGGAAAAATAATTTAGAGCTAGGAATTGTATACCTTGCTAAGTTATTATTTCTCTGTGCAGGTAACTGGAAGATATTTTCAAATATGCAGGGTTAAAGAAAGTATATTGACCTAGAACCTTCACTGAACACTCTGCTGCATGATTTACTGCAACCAGCAGAGAACATGAATCAAAATAAATGGAGTAGGGAGGCAATTGTATGAAGAAACATTCAACC